TGAATGTTTTTACGCCTCAATTAATGTGTGAAAGAACTGTTAAGAGTGGAGAGAAAATTAGAAATTGTGTTTTTCTTCATTAAAAAAAGGTAGCCTCTTATACCTTGCGACAATTATTAGAAATCATTCTCTTTTTTTCGATCTTTAGACGCATTGCTTCAAAACTTTGTTAGTTTTTAATATTTTCAAACTATTTAAATACGAAAATAAAGTAATAAGATATGCGAAAACCTCGGATTTAAATCACAGAGTTATGTGTACTTCAAAAAGTCAAAAAGACAGATGAGTCATCGTAGAATGTGTGAATATCAAAATTATCTTGGCAAACCTTTCCTATACATACTTGATTTCTATGAGTTAGTGCTCAACCAATAGTCTTTGGAGGCGAATATAGCTCAGATTTGAGTGGACGTGGGCGTCATTAAAAAAGACTCACACGGTGTATCCACACTCTAGACTAATATAAATACTTTTTCCTTAAGAATTTTTATCATTCTGATTGGACACTAATTATTTTCTTATTTTTTTGCTTCCGTGGATATGTGTGGAACTGAGGCATTTTTTTATTTCATGTAATGAGAAAGAAATCAAAGCTCTAAATTATCATATTCTTGATCGACACAGTTTATTGCAATGTTCTTGTTTAGAAAAATCAATACATAAATAAATTACAAGATATAAGTTACTTGAAAAGATTGAATTCAGTATTGTAATAATATGTTGTTTATGTTTTCAACTTATGAGCGTTTGTCCACTGTTCTGACATTGTTTGACGAGATTAACAATTCTAAAACGCATTTAACTCTTTTCAATTCAAAGTCTTTCGAACTTCCAATGTAAGAGGTTATTGGAATTGCATTTCCATAGTTTTTCTGATACGTTGCAGAAGTATCATCGAGTATCAAGTGTTACGTCTATTATAGTTGCCAATTGAATTAGGTTTGTTCGATCTGCTTTTTTTCTTTCTCCATAATTTGTTCAATCCTTTTATTGTGATTGGTATTGCATATATGTCCAACGATCGCTGTTGATATTTACGTGTACATCTTGCTGACGTCCAAATAAACTTCACTTTTGACCTCAAATGATCTGCAATAATGTGGATTAGGACAGAATGAACATATTCCGAACTCGATGCCGACCATATACCAATATCATAATGTTCAAAACACCATTCAAGAAATTCGTCAATATCCGGGCGTTTCCACACTAAAATTGATCCACCATCCAGCTCAAAATGACGATGTTGTTCAACTTGTATATGGATGAGTTTTGCTTTTTCTTCCGCAAAGATCAGTGTACCGTCAATATCAAGTATGAGTAACTTCTTTTGATTGGTTACCATGATCTTCTTCTTGTATTATCTATAACAATTAAATGGAATTCAAAGCGAGCTGAAAACTGCATATAAATGTAATTTAATTTTGGTGTTCATGTTTTGCGTCTCCATACTACTATCAAACATTCCGCAGCTTTGTATCTCGTTGCATATATGTCTTGTTGTGAACTTTCAAACCTATTAAGACGCAGATCTATCTTAACTATCCTGACATTTTGTTATTATCTGCACAAGACAAACTAGTGGCTGCAAATAGTACAATAGTAGTCATCAAGTTTTAAATGGTGATAGATATTTTTTTATACACTACCGCTGAGTAAGAGAGAAATCATACAAGTTAAGCAGTAAAAATCTATTATCTATAGTTTATTGTTAAGATCCGTTCCTAACCTTTCCCAGATTGATTGAACGATGTTCGTGCCACCATGCGTTTATTGAAAACCAAAAATGAGATACTACTGAACAGAGACAGCTATACATATCTATACTGTTGCCGTTTATTCTTTTTAGAAAGAGAGTCTGATGTAATCTCTTGCATCATTTTAGAACCGTTTCACAGTGTTCCTTTAGACTGATGCAATGATGATGCATTACTATAGCGACATATTTTAGGATTCTCTAAAACCTAATACATATTGCATGATGGCGTAATCTCAATAAAAACTTGTTCAAGTATCAATAGAAAAAATGCAACACCATTGATGATTTACTTTATTGAGTTAATGACGCAAGACAACAGAGAACTGTTTTCATTCTTTCAGTGTTATTGCACGTAATAATATACTATTTAACGATCTGTTGTGTAATAACCTAGACCATTCTTGCGTAATAACGCTGACCATAGTCTTGTGACGTAACTTTTGTATGTGGAATGACAGGACGTCGAGATAAGGGTGTGAATGTGTTAGTCTAAGTCTGGGACTCTTCTTTCCTTATCCTACACACATACCCACACTCTTCTTGATAGGAAAAAAGCTTCAAGAGTTAATAAATCATGGTATAAAGTGAAAGATGACTAAAACTTTGTATTAGGAAATATTTGTTAATAGCTAAGATTTTTAAAAATTTTTGATGAGTAACATTCAATAAGATCTTTATATCTTTTGAAAAGAAACAGCTATCGACCTCAAACTCTTGCTGATCGGTAGAGGCAAAGCTAGGCAATGTGCTCACTATATTATAGTTTAGAGAAGCATATGGCTTTCACAGAAGATTAAGTTTATCTTTAAAACCAATGCTGTATCCCATAATAAAAGCGAGTAGATTTTTTTCATGAATTTTATAAATAGATGCAATAATGTCGACTGTAGATAGTACTAAATACTCGATTCATTTCTATCTTTTATTTTAAAGTTATTCAAAAATTCCCCACATTCATTTAATTCTGACATGAACATTAACTAGTGAAGAGTTGAGAACTTTGGTAAGACTGATTATGAATACTTATATCATCAATTATAACAATCGCCATCGTGTTCTAATTGTAAATTTTCATTAATCTATTTTAGATTTGTTGCTGTTGAATAGATTGTTTGAACAGTGAGTTGCTGACTATTATCTTCAAAAAAACATTCTCGAATATTAGTGATTTTTCTTTTGACTTTTATTTAAAAAAAACTCGAAATAAACTGATGTAATATAGCTATACATCAATGGCTGCTAAAAGCAAAAATAAATAAAAAAAAAAACCAGCTTCTATGTTAAACATTCTGATCTGATGTGTTGGACAGAAACACGGGCGTCGATTGAAGATAAGCTTTATGGTATATTGTTCAGTAACATATTCTTCTATCAAGATAAGTGAAAGTTCAGAAACGTTTGCGCTATTTCTAGTCATATTATTTAAATTCTATTAGGCAAGCGATTTTATTTTTCTTCTAGACTGATAGGCTAAAATTATAAAAATGATGGTGATTTAGATTCAACTTACATATTATTACTGAGTGTGAACGTAGAACCCGTGGACACCATATAAAACTGATACAGCTCAATGAATAGTCAAAGTCTGAGCGTAGTCAAACGCTGAAATCTAAGGTGAGACCAATAATTCGAACGCAGCTCGAACGGAGGTGAGTATCGATCCATGAAAAGCTTCTTAATGAATACAGAACTAGCAGCAAAATCTGAGTAGATCACAGAAGCAACTATAAAGCCTCGACTAGCATTAAGATCTGGCAGAATTCTCGTTATCTACAGCGAGCACGATAGGTCTTCAAATCAGGTCTGAAACCATTAATACAGCTGATTATACGACAAGAACTGTGGGTCACATCTGTAACTGGATGATCACTAGGACTGGTAGCAAGATAACGACTTAGAGTGCGACATAAATGAGAAACATGGTGGGAATAGCAATCATTGTCGAAACAAAGACATATATGGCGACGAGAATAGAAATGTAAACGATGATAGTGATCAAGACATACATTGAAACTGGCAGATGGATCGATACTGTGACTGAGAATGATTCTGAAAGAGACTTGATATTGATACCGAGACCAAAAATGTATTTAACCCGGATCATAGTATTGAATGATAGACTATTGCTAGTGAAATGCTAATATTTCGTGAATATTGTGCAACAATAACAAAACATTAAATAACGTAATATTATAGTATATAGCGCTTTTGCCTTCAATTCACTTTATTTTGCGTTCTGCAAGGTTTTCGAACGAGCAAAATAACGAGAATATTTTATGAGAAAGAAACGATCATGTATCCCATTAATATATCATCATAAACAATCGAGCAAGCGACGAGACGATCGCACATGTATGAAATAAATAAGGTATGTAAATAATATTTGAACACTATTGATTTCATGGACATGCATGAAGACACACAAATCAAACTTATATTCGTAATGTGCATATAAGCAACGTATTATTTTACTTCTAGTGTACAGTGTAACATCGATAGATTAGCGTTATTCTAGTCGTCAGTACACAAGATTTCGCATAATGCCGAGAACAAGCGTAAGTGTTTTGAACTGAATTTTCTTCAGAGGACGTTTTTTTATCATCAGTATTCAGTGACATTTCCTATTCTTAAATACCCAAGCAGAGAACAAGAAGATGGAGTTGAAATCGATTTCTGCTTATTCAATGTCAAAAAGATAAAAATAACATAATTTAGAAAATTTCGAAGGTGTGGGTGTAGGTGTGTGAGTGTGGGTGTGGGTGTGGGTGTCGGTGTGGGAATTGTTCTGCCTTCCACTCACCGATATCCACACCCACACCCACACCGACCCAAATAGGATTATTTATTAAAGTTTTTTGATCTTATTGTTATTGTTTTTCTTTATTTCAGTCACATTGTCAAAAGGTTTTGCAAATTATATATTGAAAACCAAAGAAAATGGTACACGCATGTCAACGTATTAATGTTGCTGCTATTATTTTCATTTGGTTTGCTTCTACGTTCTTGGTAGAATGGTTGACTTTAAACATCGTCAGTCGGACGTCAACGAGTGAGCCGAACAATTCTTCTGCTCCGATACCTTGTTCATCTCTAAATGTGTCCGCAGTGCGAGTGTTGACATTTGATTTATGTGACGCATTGATGTTGGCGGAGTCTTCAATAAATTAGAATATCGCTTCTCTTCTCCCGTCATTACCGTCGTCGGATGTTGAGAAATTTACGATTGATTGGCTTAGTGCATATGGCTCATTTTTTTGGAAAATCGTTTTCAGCATCAGTGACACATAAGCCTTTTCTATGGGTCATTCGTTCATCATTATTGAAAATCTTAGATTCATTTGGTTTATCAAATATGGTACCTGAAGGCAGTGCTACCTTCAATGCGTTGATGTCCACGTGGGAAAATCTACAACCATGTGTTGGTGTTACAGAAGTTCTCGCTAAATTGGGCAGAAAATATCAATTAGGATTGCTTTCCAACGGTGATAAAGGTACATTGCAAGCAACCTTACGTGTCTTTCCATCATCGGTGAATGTCTCATTAATATTATCGTCAGATTATCCAGTCAACTGTTTCAAACCATGTTCATCAATGTATGCTCAAGCACTAGCTGTAGTGAATGGTGATAGGACTCAAGTTTTCCATGTAGCTGGTTCGACGTTCGATGCGCATGGTGCACGTACTTTTGGGATTTTTTCAGGTGTATTAGACAGTTCAGCAATGCATACTAATCCTCAACCATGCTTTGTTTTTGATGATATACTACAGTTGCTTTCATTCTTTGATGTTTAAAACAAAGAATAATGTGCTAGTGTACTTTCACTAGAGTGACACTCGGATTAATTGAAATATAAAGTAATTCTTTTGATTGAAATAATCACTATTCCTAAGCTGCTGCTCGATCAGCATTTCGGCCTATTTGTCTGAGATACCTAATCGGTTCATAGAATTGACAAGTGTTCATCTAGATCTGATCTCTCAGCCTATCGGAAAGTATTATTACGAAGAATCGATCTGAGACTTCGATGCTTTTGAATGGCTTATCTAAGATGAATTACAACGAGTTCCGATGGATGAAATTCATAGTTTGAGTGTGGGTGTGACTTGTTTTATCTCACACACTATACACCCACACCCATAGTTTTATTGCATCGTTGTCCACAAATAATGATTTCTATGTGAGTGAGTCAGTCGTCGACGAACTTTACTTCTGAGGGGCAACCCTTTTAGTATTCATTTCATTCAAGACGCAAGTCTTTTTTCTTTTCTGTTTTTGGTTATTTTTTGTTTCTTAAGAAAAAGAAACAATGTTTCAAATGCCTTTTCTCTTTCTTTTATTTTCACAACTCGTTACTTTTCATAGCATGTTTTACGTACGTAGCAACAAAACAAAATTTTCATCGAGTTACGAGTAAGAAATTTGTGTATGGATAGAGCTGAATCTATTGAAGTTGCTCGTCCTCTGTTACATTGATGAAAGAGATCAACAGTTAACAATTGGTCTCTAAACAATAAGTTTAAGTTTTTCTACTTAACACTTGAGTTAAATAAAATTAAGTTTAATTGATTGTGTTACATGAATATTATTTAGTTTCGAGTTTTTCTCTACTCCAACGAGAACTCAACATGATGTCGTTCGATCTGTTTGAGAGGAAAATAGTACTCGACATCCTGGACTATCCAGACAACGCTATGTTTTGTCTAGACAAAGAGAAGAAAACTCTGACTCAGGTCTGATTATTTACGAACTTTTTTATTACAATCAATCAGATTTAAGCAAGATTTTTTTTTCTAATATTGTCAATAGAAAGTAGAGATGGTGTTTTAAATGAGTCAAGTAAAATAATGTTCAGTTCTCTTTCAAGTAGAGAAAGACTAAAGATTTAATAGTTTTCATCTAACTCAGTCACTTAAACTTAATTTTGTGTGAATTAATTATTAAATAGAAAAATTTAAATTTAACAATGAGTATTAAGTGATTCTTTTATATCCAATATTAAGAAATTAACTAGTGATTATTGATTTTTCTTTTTATTAATATTACGTGTTAAATAAAGCCAATTAATATTTTGTTCAATTGAATCGCGTCTCTTGGCTAACATCTGTATGTCCCTTGAAGGAAGCATGACAACTCTTTGAAAAAAACGATTGATAAAATGAATTCGAGAAAAGCTGCGAACATTTTGAGTCAAGATGAATCAACATCGATTCATTTGTACACAATACAGTCAATTATGCATGAGAATAGTTTCTATACAAATCTGAGCCAAAAACTTGCCTTGTTTAACCTGAAACAAAAGTTGGTCATATTGTTGATTTTGAACATTGTTTCTCACAATTTTCTTTAAACTATAGGAGGTAACCAATATTTTTCATATTGCAAGATGACATGGTATGTGTGTATTTCCTAAATTAACTGAGACACCCACACCCTTCATTTATTTATTAGAAAATAATTTGATTATAGCTAACAGATCTTGAATAGACAAGTATTGGAAGCCGTTACTTTTTTCTTCTTACTTTCAGTTATGATAATCATAAAAATAAAACGTTGACTAAGTACTTATAAATTA